GAACGTTGTTCATCGAAACAATTGGTTTTGATTATTCGACCGTTCATTGAATGTTATTACTAACCACTTTTTATAAACGCTCTTTTCGCACCTTTTGGCGATGAAATCGCAGATATAAGAAAATATTAATTTATTGGATCGTTTGCACGCAATTTGAAAGCACCTTCTGAAATCATTACTGACATGCCTGATTTTCAATTTCATTCTGTAGAGAGCGAATATTTGTTCCATCAGTTGAAAACGTATATTCGGATTGACTTTTGAGACTGGCTGGTTCAGTTAGTGTTAAGGGTAAGCGAGATTCATTCCACTAGTGAGAGGACAAGTTTTATCGCCTATAACTGACTGCTCACTATTGAGTTGTTGTCGATTCATATCACTATATTTAATAGAGGTGGGAGATTTTTCAGATTTGATTTTTGAATGATTTGAAAGTTCTCTAAGTAATGTTGATCAATTTTTTGTCGTTAGCCCATAAGCAAAGGTGAAGATGATGGTAATAACGTGCAATTCTGGGTCGGAAAATTAATAGGGCTCGAAAAGAAACAACGGTGATCACGACAAATGAGTTAGATCATGTCATTCAACTGACTGATTGGTAGGATCTGATCATATGCACTGCACAACAGCGTTGATAGGTTGTGCTCATCGTACGAGCAACATGCAATCAAATTATAATTCGCATGATATTGTGATGATGCTTCGTGTCATTTTCATGTACCGACATTTTCGTTGCAGCAGTTTTGATAGCCAGAAAAATCGGTTGATTCTCAAATATTCGATGAGATAACTGAATGAAATAATGTGAATTGTGTTGCTTCACAACGCTATGAACTCATATGGAGTTTGAGTGATTTGTGCATGAAGACCGTAAGCTCACTTGATGGATTACTTGTTAATTTAAAGCACCAACATTCGAAATAGAAGCTCTGCACTCAATTGTTTTACTTTATTGTTAGGCAGATTATTTGAAAATAGGAAGATTATTAGAGAACAAAATGCAAAAGCATGAAATTTGTTTGCGATCCAATTGTGTGCGAAGCGTTGGTAAGTTTTTTTGCAGTTTCGCGGAAACTTCCTCACGTCAGTCTCATTTGTCGTCGGATGACTAAATGTTTCCATCGGTCGACTTGCAACCGTCCCTATCAATTGCACGAGCGCATCAACTCAATGCTAAAGTAACCAACATTCAAGCATCAAAAGTATACCACCAGTTTTTTATCCTAATCCATTCATTGTATGCGTTTCGTCCCTTTGAAATCTATTCATTCATAAGAATTGCTTCCATCAAATTGGTGAAACTTGTGACTCAAGTCATTTAGAAACAAAAGCGCCTATTCACATGTATGAACATATATGAGCACTTACCATAAAATGATATCGAGCACTGATTTTTTGAGAGAGAAGATCATGCAGACATCATTGCTGTATTCACTTAGTCGTTTCCTACAGAAACTTGTTGGAACAGAGGAATACGTCTTCTCTTCTTATATTCGTATTCTTCATTCATGTTACAGATTCAGAGATTCATCTTACATTTAGTTTCATTTCGAATTTAGAGTCATCCTAATTGAGTTTCATCTGTGGTCTGAACTGATAGTTCAACAACGAATAAATTTTCAAATCGCCGTATAAAATAAATTCACTCAAACTAGATTCACTAAATGCAATTCTGATGAACGATTCTATGTGAATTTCTCTCGCTCTGAAATTAGTTCAAATTTGATTTTTTGTTCGCATTTTAGCAATCTGATGGTCATTTGCCACCAATTTCCAACTCTGAAACAAAAAAAGCGTGTTCCATTGGACGGAATGCACGTAACAAGAGGAATTTGGATCATTTTCGACGGAGTTCCATGCCTTTCGATGCTGCAACAGTGAGCAGGTGAACAAACTTGAAGTGTATCCCCTTGATTAAAGACTCTGGAGGACATAATGCATCCACTTTTTTGGGATAGGAGGGGGGGGGGATTTTATCCAAAACACGAAATGAGGCAAGGGAGTGAATCTGCTAGGGAAATACGATAAGCACGCGTATTCTCTTGAATCTGAATCCAAGCTGGTTCTTACGAACACTTGATGCGACGATGATCATCTGCTCATCTTTTCAGGCAAACCTTCAGAGGTGAGAAAGGTGATCGTGTGATTGGCTACAAACCGAACGATCAAATCAGCAAGAGAGATGGTCATCTCGCTGCAATAACTAGCAACATGTTGGCTGATTGATTAACTGATTAAAATTTTTGACTGAACAACAATCTCATTATGAATACATACCCCGTTGTTATCACCAATAACTCAAATATCGTTAAATTTCCCATTCTTCGGCAAATTCTTCCCATTTATCTAACGATATTAGCCTAACGTGTATGAAATCATGCATCTATTCACCTTCATGAGTTTTTTCTCGATCATCGATTATTTAGCGGTAAATCACATAAAACTGTCATAAAATCGAAGCGTTTTTATATGCTGCCATCTCACAATTATTAATTATGATTTGAATGATACTGATTAATAATGAATAAATGAAAAGAGAAATTGAACCAATGAAATGAATTATGTGCTCTTTCGAGGGAAACATTCAAAGGTGTTAAAGTTGATCGTAGCAAGCTGATGAAGCCACACGATAACCTCCTAGTAAGGCACACAAATCATCCATTTGCTACCAAAACAACAAATCGGTATTTTCAGCTATTATATTCTATCAACTGTTGTTGTTGCTGTTATTCTCAGCAGTGTTTTGAGCATTCAGTTTTATTTCTTCACGCATTTGACATTGAAGTGAACTCCTCAATAAGTTATGTAGAGTATTATGATTGTGAGTGAACGTACTGAATTGAATAAGCTTATTTGAAGTGATCAATAGGCCGTAAACGCATTGGGCATATGGTATGCTTGCTATACTGAAATGATTTATTGTACCGAGTTTTCAGGGAGGTGTTCCGCGGTGAATGGGCCGAAAAATTCGGCATACATATACCAAAAAATCAAATTGAGTTGTGCACAGAGCCGATGTGCACACGTACCGTTTACAGGTGTGTGTTTATCAGCAATGGATTCTTCACATTTGTCCGTCATATTTGCATTAATGTTTGTAAATGAACCTT